CGAGCATGCAAAATCAGCAGTTTTGCAGATGTACCTCTGTGATGTCAAATTTAACAGTAAAGACTATTTTTAGGACCAAAAATGTATAGCAACAGTTATAGGAGAATTATTTTTTTGAAGGTGGTCCCTATTTAAATGAGAGGGTTTTAATGAGCACAATCTAGAAAATTTCTTAATGGATATAAATTCTGCTACGCACTTCATCTAAAGCAGACCGTTAGGAAATTTTGTTGTCGTATACTCTCAAGTTTCATTTCAGTCGTAGTCTTAGAACTGTTACTGCAGACTTCCGTGTAAGCAGCAGATGAATTTCAAAAACAAAACCTCGCAGAGCAGATATACCACAGTTGTATACATACATTTCCACCTTTCTGGTTGGCATACTTAGAACAAGCAAAAACTTAGTAATTTTTTAGACAAAATTGATGATAGCAATAGAGCTAAATATTCAAAGCATTAAGAAGCCTAATCTCAAAGTGTTATATAGTTTATGACACCCTCTTATTTTCTAATAAAAAAGATTTGCTCAGTGAAAAGTACTAGAACGATATTATAGAAAAGAATTAGACCTAAAAAAAGTAAAAAAATGCTTTTTCAGTAAATAAAACTAAAAAGATTGTTAAAGAACAGCATCAGTCATAAATTCGTTTTTATTTGCATAGAGTTTCTTTACTGCGGCGAGTAGTAATTTAAAAAATTGGCTCAAATCTTTCTTCATAAACTTTACAAAAGAACAATTTTCTTCACTTTTTTTTGTGCTTTGAAAAAATATCAGTAGATTGCTGGTCAAGACGCTGAATTGATTATTGTGATGATTATTAGACATTGTAAATTTTTTTATTTTTTTTTCTTTGTTCAATTTGGGTTTTTTTTGTTTTCCTTGCGTTTTCTTTCTCGTCTCTTTTTTTTATTTTTGAGTAGGAGTGAAACATTTATTTAGCGATTATTTAAGCGCCGGTTTGTCGCAAAGTTTTTTTTTTGACAGTATTTGCTTTGTAACCTAATCAAACGGGCCTCTTAGAAAAGCCTATATTTAATGCCCTTTGGTGTTAATTTTTATCAGCAGTAATTGGTACAAAAACATTATTCCGCCTCCACAACACTGCAAAACTTCTATACAAAATAACGCTTCACTTTTAAATTATTGCTTTTGTTTGGAACTTTGTTTTCACCGACTCAAAAAACATTTTGCTGTTAATGACATTTATTATTAAGCGATAAAGCGTGGGGTGGTATCAAAGTTTTTTTGCAAAAAAGAGCTTGACGTTTTGACGTGTGGCTTTAAAGTTTTTTTCTTAGTTTCCAATTTGGTTTTCGACCAATACTTACATGTCATTTTTGCTTTTTCTGGTTTCGTCTTAGTCTGATAGTTTCTTGTAACAGATACTGACATAATTTACTTACTTTATGACCTGCAAAGTGGGGTTTCGGATAATAAGACTGCCGTCATTTGTCATTACTAGTTGTTGAAATATCTCGCAGACAGCCGATCATGCAAGGAAATATAAAAGTGTGGTAAAATGAAAACGCAGCATAGAATATTTGAAACCAAAACAATTTCTTAGCACTTTAATTTGTATTTAGGTATAGTTTCTTGGAAGCGATTGTAAATTTAA